CAGCAATGCCATTTCTCCTAAACCATGCCAACCCAGTCAAACAGCTGGTGTCACTTGTTACATCAGCCGCTACATGAGAGGCTGGGCTTCAATTCTACATTGATTGTGGGTGCCTGTTCCCAGTAGGGAAATATGCCTGCTCCACCACTTCACAGCAAGGACACTGATTGGCACCAGCATTAGAAATCAGCCAGGCACCAGTCGCAAAATGCAATTGGCCTTTCGTGACTGGAAATGTCTGGGCACCACCCTTGGCACCTAGCATCGCCACCTGCCTGGCTGCATTCAGCTGGTTTGCCAGGCACAGCAGCAGCAAAAAAGGATGAATCTTTTGCTACCACGCTACCCTGCAGACCCTGATTCACCAGGCAGCAAAAAAATAAAAATAGCTATACCACACTGCCAGGTGAATCAGGTGTTTTGCAGGGTAGCACGGTAGCAAAAGACAGATCTTTTGCTGCCACACCTCCCTGCAGACTACCTGATTGCCCAGCAGCATTCACCCCACCCCGGTCTGCCTGGCAGCAGGGCAGCAAAAGAAAAAGAAACCTTGACATTTTGTTTTGGCGCCCACAACCTAGGTCCAAGGAGCCACATGGCTCCTATCATTCCTCTCCCAGTTTCTAACACTGATTGGCATTATGGGGAAAGCATTCAAAATTGGGCAGCTACGTATGAAATAGAAGACTTGTTCTCTTGTTGCCACCCTCCAAATTTATTTTGGAAGAGGCACATAAAAGGGATGTTGATCTCTAGGTCCAGGAGAGTTCACATGGAACCATGCAAGGCTTCCTATGTGAAAACTCTAAACTGCACTCAAAAATGTATTGACAGTCTATGTGATTGGCTCAAAGCTGGATACATGTTCAGATATGGAGTTTCTGAACGATCCCCCAGAGGCAGTCCAATGTAGAACAGGTTGCAGTAATCTGACCCAGAAGTTACCACGGTACATGCCTTCTGAAGTTCTAAATGGCAAGTCTGAAGTAGAAATTGCATTGAAGAAATTGAAAATATTCAGCTCTGTTCTGCATGTTTTTTCTCTGATCTGCAAGCCTTTCCAATCTCAAGTCAGACTGAATCTAGGTAAAAAGGATCATCTCACATACAAAAGGGGCAGAATCTACCAACAGATGAAAGGTGATTCAGGTGAAGGGAGAGATTCAGGCATCTTTTTAAAAGATACAAAACTTCTATCTCCCCCTATGTTCAGTGGGTGGTGTGGGGGACTCCATGGTCCTGAATGGGGTAACTGTGCCATTGAAGGGCCAGGAGAGCAGCCTGGGAGTCATTTTGAACTCACAGCTGCCCATGGAGGCACAGGTCAATTCTGTGTCCAGGGCAGCTATCCACCAGCCCCATCTGGCATGTTGGCAGAGACCCTATCTGCCGGTGCCCTGTCTCACCAAAGTGGTATATGCTCTAGTTATCTCCCACTGCAATGTGCTCTACCTTTGAAAGTGACTCAGAAACTACAACTAATCCAGAATGCAGCAGCTACACTGTAGACAAAGAGTGGCTGTCAAGACCATATAACATCAGTCCTAAAGGGTCTAGACTGGCTCCCAGTATGTTTCCAAGCACAATTCAGAGTGACACTTAAAGCCCTAAATGGCCTTGACCCTGTATACCTGAAGGTATACCCCCATCATTCAGCCCAGACACCGAGTCCACTTCCCAAGGGATTTCTGATGGCTCCCTCACGGTGAGAAGTGAAGATACAGGGAACCAGGTAGAGGCCCTTCTCGGCAGCAACACCCTCCCATCAGATGATATAGAACTACACAATTTTTAAAAGACATCTGAAGGCAGCCCTGATGTTTATTATGCTTTTATATTCTGCTGGAAGCCACCAAGAGTGGCTGGGGAAACCCAGCCAGATGGGCGGGGTATGAATAATTAAATTATTATTACTAGAACTAATTTCACCATCACTGTAATCATTAACAATATATTGAAAGACTCTCTCAAAAGATAGATCACAATAAATGAATAGTCAAAATGTAATCTGAACAAAAAAGACTTTTATTGGGGAGGGGGAAGGTAATGTGTGCCTGATATATACCATATGGAACCAGCATGTATTATACTATATGCAACATGCACCAAGCATTCACTTTCTTTTTGAAAGTACAAACTACTACTATTGAGTCACCTATTGTAGTAAAGTGCTTGGATGGAAATTCCTAGTCCACATCTTTATTATAACCTTGGTAACAATAACACTTAAGTACATACAGTGTTCTACTTCTCAAATATATATAAGCTCAGATATCGCAGTTGACAAAATTAACACATGGTATTTGAGATTAGCAGACATTGTTAACAAACTAATTTTATAAAGGTTAACCTGCAGTATGTTATCATTCACATGTTTGTTGCCAGGTGCAGCAGACATATGTCTGCCAATGTCACACAATTTAATAATAATCTTTCCAGGATTCTTGGGGATATGCTGCAACCATTTTGCAAAATGGGAATGATTTATTAAAATACTGCAAAAGTTGCTTCCACACAAGCCTTTTTCCAGTTATTTATTCATTTAATTTCACATGGCACAAAGGAAACAAAGGACTAAACAAACCTTTCAGTATACAGCTACTGTACTGCTACTAGTACACACAGATGCACACACCGAGCAAAGCATACTCTTGCACACAAAACTGAATAAAGGTATCCCAAGGCTGTACTTTTGAGATCACTATTAATGAGAAACTGTACTCCTTCAGGAAATGACTGAAGTACAGTACTCAACACTTAATGTATTAATATCCTTAAAATACCAAACATAACAGCATAACTATGAAAAGCACCCTTTTTTTTGAAAGTCATCACTCATGGTTACCCAATGGGCAGAGATGATGGGAGTTGTAGTCCAACAACATATGGAGGCACAATGCTACCTACCACTAACCTGAAGCAAAACAGAGTTCTCCATCATTCTCTTCTCCCCCACTAAAAAATCATGGGCACACAAGCATCCAACTTTTGCAGGGAACCTAATTTCATGAGCACCTGGCATCTCCCCTAAGCTAGCCATCTAGCCCCCACCCTTCCACTTAACCAAAGAAAACAAGCTCTGTCACATTCACTGTCTAGTACCTGCATGAAGAGACACCCAGGTCCCAGAAAGGAAAACGGGACGCACATCACTTACCAAAACAAAGACCAGAAATCCACTCTCTATCTCCTCTGCACAGGTTTATCTATGATGTACCAATTAAAGACACATGTGCCTTCAATCATCAAAACACACTTAAAGCAGCACTGAAAGACTGAATAAACCAGCACTGGTGAATGAAAGTATTCTCTCCCCCAAATAAGGCACAGTTTATGAAAATAACACTTTAATATTAGAAGAACAAACCATTTCCTAAGTTTACATGTGTATATAGACAGAAAAATTATTAAGGTCTGTCAAGCCTGTTACCAAGATTGCAAAATTGCACAAAAATTCTCAAAAACTAGTTGCAAACATAATGCCAGCAGCATGATGGTATTGTTTCCCCAAACGTGTCCATTTCCCCATCCCTCCCTAAAAAAAAGAAAATCCTTCTACTTGCTGTAAACAAAGGGCATTATACTCTTTGGTCATGGAAACATTTCTAATTATCTGAAGTTCATTAGATACATAGTAAAATACATTATCTTACTATCCCCAGCACAGCCTAAAGAAACTTTTCTGGGTCACCTTTTTCCTACCTCAAAAGAGTTTTGTAGAGGGCTTGCTGTTTAGGCAGCTGCCTTTATGTGCTTCACTCAAACTTTAATATGTTTGAAATGGAGGGGTAATCAAGCCGGCAAGAAGAAATTGAGCATATTTAGTAGTCAATCTTACAGTGAAAGAGGAACTTGTTTCTTTTTAAAGAGAACAGGAACACACCATTTTAAAATAGCCAGCGGCACAGCCTGCTTCAGGATCATTAATTTCCTCCACAGCTATGTAAAACAAGCAAACTTTGAGACAGCAGTGCCAAGTGGTACAATTATAGGATAAATAGTGGCAATTATTATGCCATATTTTGTATCAAACCGTCCAAGCAAAGATAGTCAAATTCACTTGCTTCAAACACTTTCTCAGATGACTACACAGCACAGCAGGACAGCTAAAACGTATAACGTTTAGTAAAGGAAAGAAGAAAAGGGCACATGGGTGGCCCACACTCTCACACAGGGCCAGGCCTGCAGCAGTGGGACCATTATGGGGTGATGGATAGATAGCAGATGAAGGCAGGAACTGGTGCCTGAATGCTGAAGCAAGAATTTTTAAAGTGTTTGTGGGGTTACAATTTTGACTCAGCTTCAGGCAACAAAATAACCCTTGGGAAAAGGGCAGAAGGAAAATTATGCAAAAAAAATTAATAATAATTAAGGGGGCTGGCTGGGGGTTGGAGTCCAGCAACAGCCAGAAAGCCAAACACCCATTTTGTGGAGAGAGACCCTATTGCTGGAGGAGAGTAAGGCCGTGACCCTACATATGCTTTCTTCTAAGTAAGCACCGCTGCATGCTGCCATACTTGTTTCAGGTGCACGGGATTGGACCAACTTGGGGAAATCCACCCATTCGCAGTCAATGCTGTAAAGGGCGATGCCCCGGCACTGACTTGGCGGGGCGGGGGTTGGGTTCGGATCTGACCCTAGCCAATGTCGATTGTCCAGCCACCTCTCGACCTGCCCGGTTAAACTCGCTCCTCAGTGATAAGAGATCTAAGCGCCGGCGACAAACGAGAAGGTAATCCATTAAAAATGAAACGAAACGAAGGCGTTAGGAGCCGCAACTACTCGAGCCATTCGCGAGAGGCGAAAAGTTTCCGCCAGGCCGTGTTAAGACGACGCGTGCAGACGACGCGTTTGGAACTCCTGCGAAGCCCGCAAGCGACGCGGGCACGCCGTACGTGTGAACCTGCCCTTTCCCAGGCTGGGTTTGGGTTCTCTCTCCCTTTTTTCTACGGAGGGAGGGAAGGAGAGAGAGAGAGGGCAGCCCTACGGAAGAGACCCACCTCCATCGAGCTGGCCTCGGAGGGGGAGGGGGAAGCAGCGAACGCCCCCCGTCTTCGAGTAGCCCTTGGCGGCCGCCGGCCGTTGCCGCCAGCGTCTTCGGGAAGCGGGCTGAGGAGACGCCGCCGCCGCCGCCGCCGACGCCGCTCTCCCGCCAACGGAGCCCCCCTGGCGGCGGAGGGGAAGGCGCCGCCGCCAGCTCGGCACGGGCCGAGTCCGTCCCCTCAGGAAGCCCTTCGCCGCCGAGACGAGGACGGCGCCGCCGCGACGGCGGGAGGCGGCCGCTGGGGCTCCGCGCCTCGCCGGAGATGGAGGGGGAGATGGAGGTCGCTCGCTCCGCCGCTCGCTCCGCCGGCCACCGCCGACGCCCTCAGCCGCGCAGCCCGCTCGGCATCTCCCTCAGCCGCGCTGAGTCTTCACGGCCGGCGGCGGCAGCGGCAGCGGCGACTTCCTCCTCCTCCTCGTCGTCCTCCTCCCCCTCGAGCGGGCTGAGGCGTTAAACGGTCCCACCTCAAAGCGCAAGCGCGCGCGCGCGCGGCCGGGCGTGCACCACCGACTTCTCAGAACGCAGTCGCGGTCGGCGCGCGCGCGCGCACGTCAGGCTCGCTCGCCGGCCCCACCCAGTAACACCTGACTCCTCCCACTCCCGTCAAGGCAAAGGAGAACGCTTGGCTTATGGGTGGTCTTGTTTCCGCCTGCAGGTGACCCGGATGTCGGCGTCACGTGCCGCCCCCGCCCTCCCTCGCTTCGGAGTGAAGGGGGGCGAGGAGAGGGGATTGGGCGGCGGGGAGCCAGGGGGCGGGGCGCGCCACGCCAATCAATCCATCCCCATCCAAGAGACTGCACAGAAACCTGAAATTGCAGAGCTCGAAGTTCATTCTGCGCTGTGGGTCAGGGCGGAGAGACGGGTGCTGTTGTAAAATGGATGGGACTTGCCTGTCTCCTTCCCCCGCGCTTCTCGTGCTTTGTGTTTTTTTCTTCGAAAACGTGCATAATGTGGGCACTGGGCGTGATCCACCAGGACTGAAGTCGTCTTTCCATCTGCATTTGGCAGCTCTCAGCAAATAGCCCCCCGCTATGTCCGCAGCATCCATTGCTTTAAAAAGGAGAGGAAATGACAAAGCACACATACACACCGCAAGCATCAATCGGGCGGAGCCCACAACTATGTCTGTGTGCCACGTGGAGATAGGAAGCAGCCGATGATGTTACGGGCGATCCAGGCAGGCAATCTGCCAGCATTGGACGGCACGCAGCCACGCCATAAGGCTCTGGGAAGCTGCAAAGAGGAGTTCCGGTCCTTCTGTAATAAGAATTTTAAGTTTTTACATATATAATAAATGTACCAAGCAAACACGTACATAAATATATAAACCACATATCTGAAGCAGCACAGGAAGACAGTCCTGAAACCATTCTGACTCTAAAACTGACCAAATGTTTCTTCCCATTGTCTCAGGTATTGAGTAATTACCATCTCAAAGGAATGGCCAGACTACCAGGAAAGGCAATCAGATAAGGCATTATCAGATAACCTGGCAAACAGTAGAAATAACAACATTCAAATTTCTGTTGTAGACCGCCTTTTGTGTGATGTAGGTATGTTTGGGGGGGTCTTGGGCTCTCCCCCTTCTGTGATGTATGTATGATGTATGGAGGGGTGGTCTTGAGCTCCAGCGACAGCAAATTTCAAAATGGCTATATAAGGGCAAGCACACATGGTTCGTGGTCCTCCTCTCTCCTGCGTGTGGGGGGAGCACCCTGTTGCAACAGCTTTAATAAAGATCAGGCTTACTAGCTGCTTTGCTTCTCAGTGTTCTCTGGTTGGCCTCTGTTATTTTCTCCTACCAATGGAGAAACTACAAAGGACTCTATAAGGGCTCTTGTGTGCCCTATAAGGGAATAAGGGCAGGTTTTGTTTACAACACTTCGCACCACATGAACACCTGCAGGAGCGGGGTGGGGGAATAAATAAACTCAAGCTGGGGCAATAAGGGAAAGGGTTGTGCCAAAACTGGAAGCTACACTGCAAACTCCACCGGGCAACTCCCAGCTAAGCCAAAGTGGCTGGCATCAAGCACAATCAATGGTGGGTCATTTGTGACATAAGAAGAGCCTGCTGGATCAGGCCAGTGGACCCTCTAGTCCATCATCCTGTTCTCAGAGTGGCCAACTAGATGTTTGTTGCAAGTCCGCAAGAAGGATTCGAGCAAAAGAGCGCTCCCTGCTCCTGTGGTTTACAGCAACTGGTAATAATAATAATAATAATAATAAATTTTATTTATACCCCGCCCTCCCCAGCCAAGACCGGGCTCAGGGTGGCTAACACCAGATATAAAACAATTGATTAAGATACAACATTAAAAACAAGATTAAAATACAACATTAAAATGAAGCCTCATTTCAATAGAAACTCAAATCAGAAACTTTTTGGGGATGAAAACGTCAAATCTTCACCAAGGCCAACTATTCAGACTGGTCCTACATGGGCCAGAAGAAGCCAAGGAAGTCCCCGAATAGGACTTCCATCACAGAAGGAAAAAGGAAAGAGGGGGAGGGGATCAAGTTGATTCCAAACAAATTGCTTTCAACTGTGAAAACAGAGAATAGCCATTATGACTAGTAACCACAGATAGCCCTCTCCTCAGTGAATTGGTCTAATCCTCTTTTAAGGCCATCTAGCTTGGGGGCCATTTGGCTCCCTGCTCCCAGCCCCAACACCCAATCATTGACACGAGAGGAGCTATGGTCTGGTCAAACAGTGTGATTTCCACACCAGAGGCCTCTCTCATCCCTACAGCGCGCAAACGGTCCTATCTTCCAATAAACAGCCCATGTCAAATCTTCTATTGAACAGTATCTGGGATAGAGATGTTCTCGAAGGAAGAAGAAGAAGAAGAGTTTGGATTTGATATCCCGCCTTTCACTCCCCTTCAGGAGTCTCAAAGCGGCTAACATTCTCCTTTCCCTTCCTCCCCCACAACAAACACTCTGTGAGGTGAGTGGGGCTGAGAGACTTCAGAGAAGTGTGACTGGCCCAAGGTCACCCAGCAGCTGCATGTGGAGGAGCGGAGACACGAACCCGGTTTCCCAGATTACGTGACTACCGTATTACGTGACTACCGGAAACATATGAGGGCTTGCCACCTAGTCATGACTACTAAAGGGCTCCTGTGCCTTGGACACTGACTTGACAGGAAGTAGTGCCGCTTGTAGCATAAGCCCCCCAATTGAGAAACATCTGGACCTTTAACAGATATTGCCAAGTGTAGAGGAAACCGCCTGGAGTAAGCAGGAAGAACAGCCAGGATCATTGCTGGAGTGAGCCTTCTTCCTGATCTGTACTAAAACGGGTGTGAGAATATATATTCCTGGTATAAAGTCCTGCCTTTGCTGTGGGCATTTCATGGGAATAAAGGGGCTTTGGATGTGGCGTAACTATGCCATACCCACAACCCGCCCAATTTTTACCCACACAGCCAATGTGCATGCTGGTGGCATTCTGGGAGAGGGATCCTGGAGTTTTGCCAATGTATCTGACATCCCAGATCAGATCATCTAATATGGTCAGAGCCTTTACAACTTCCACTGTACATAACCAATACATTAGCACCATGCCGGCATTTGTTAATTGTGTCCACAGAGGGACCATGTGTGCCAGACCTGCCTGCTCCACCCCTAAACTTCCCACATTGACATCTGAAGGGATTTTAAACACAATCGTCTGAAGGCAGTTACAATTCTCCCCCAAAACAGGAAGCCTGTGTAATCGGTTCCTGATCACAAGAAGGTGGAAACTTTAGGAGGCAGCTCACCCTCCATGGATGCAATTACTGAATTACTGAATAGGGCTATGATATTGCTTCTCCAGCACAAAATGGAAGCAGCAGCACAGAAAGCAGTCATGACTCAGCATTTCTTCTTTATCGTGACATTCTGAATGTTTCAAAGACACCTCCACAATTAAGTCTAAGTGTAAACCATGTAATATAGACACAAAAGTTTCTGAACTTTTGTTTGAGTTCTTCACACATTTAATATATGGCTCATATCCAAAAGAAATGTTAGGAGGCTGAGATATTTTTTCCAGGGTGTTGTGTGTGCTGTGATGGGCACGTGAAGTCATCAAAACTTTTCCAATTTGGTGTTGCCATGAAAATTATCATTGGCAATAGAAAGGTACTTAATATCCATAATCCCGTCAGGCACTGTCAGCTACAACTGTGTTGAAGAAGTGGAGAAGGAATGAGAATACGTATCACTTGATGGGCAGTGGGCAATCCCAGAAGTAATGAAATCACCCCCAGTTAGTAATGGGAGTTGCCATAAATAATTATGACGCATGTGCTGGAAAGGGATTTGCCATACAGTTGCTATCCGCTTTCAGAATGTTGCATGGGAAGCCTTGCAGGAGGAAATGCTCGAGACTTTGTCAAGGCCTTCAATAGCAAAAAAAAGAACAGAACCATATGGGAAGACCATATGGAACATCAAGGAGTACATTTCCACCACATGATGACAGCAGAAGATCTGTAATTCTGGACAATTAAGAAGATTTAATTGTGCATGACACTGTGTGGATGATGTCACTGGTATTTATGAAAAAGGAAACTACAATGTGGGCAGACTGGAATTTCAAAGGGTTGTTAGATGAACTTCCCCAAAAGGAAGACAAATCAACAAGTCCCCAACAACACTACAAGTTGTGGCAGAAACTATTAAAAGATCCCTCACAAAAGCAGTACCAGCTGAAGAACATGGCAAAACATAAATGTGACATATGGTTTGGTCGGGGGCATAATGCCAGTCGCCAGTGCCCAGGGCAGGTGCCCGCACATGCGTGCCAGGCAGGCAAGGAGTCAACTCTCCAGCCTTTGCTGCCACCAGGTTGGCGCTTATGCTCGTGGACCAGGCAGGAGCAGGGCACTGAGGGTGAAGGGTGTCCTCCACACTCTCCAGCCCTTGCTACCGCTGGGCGGGTTATTGCATACCAGCAGGGGCAGAAGGTTATTGGTTTATTTTGCTTGTTTTGATTGTGTATTTTTTTATCTTGTATTTTTATACTGTGAACCGCCCTGAGATCTACAGATGAAGGGCATTATAC